GTACCAGATGTACTTTTCCGGTCAACTTTGCATCCGGCAAAGTCAGAATCTGAGTATCCCACTAACTCAAATGAATTGCTTTTAGCATACCACAAACCCATGTTCTGAGTTCCTTTGAGGTATCTAAGAATTCTCTTAGCTGCTATCAAATGACTTTCCTTTGGCTTTGACTGGAATCTGGCACAAACACCTACTGCATATGAGATATCCGGACGGCTTGCAGTAAGGTAAAGTAGAGATCCGACAATTCCTCTATAGATCGTTTGATCTACATCCTTTCCATCTACATCCATGTCAAGCTTGGTGGATGTGCTCATGGGGACAGAAACGGATGACTTCTGATCAACTTTGAACTTCTTGATAAGATCCCTTGTATACTTTGCTTGGTTGATGAGAGTTCCTTCGCTTCTCTATTTGATTTGAAGGCCAAGGAAGTAGTTGAGTTCTCCCATCATGCTCATCTCAAATTTTCCTTGCATGAGGGTTGAGAACTTAGTGCATAGATCTTCCTTAGTTGAGCCAAATATGATGTCGTCCACATAGATTTGGACCAATAAGAGATCTTCACCATCGTGTAGTTTGAACAATGTCTTGTCAATGACTCCTTTGGTAAATCCATTGTCTATAAGAAATTGAGACAATGTATCATACCAAGCTCTTGGTGCTTGTTTGAGTCCATACATCGCCTTTTTGAGTCTATACACCTGATCTCCTTTAGTGTATAACTCAAATCCTGGAGGTTGTTCCACATAAACTTCTTCCTCGAGGTTTCCGTTGAGGAATGCGCTTTTGACGTCCTTTTGATAGACCTTGAAGTCCTTGTGAGCAGCATAGGCTAGAAACAGCCTTATAGCTTCAAGTCTAGCAACTGGAGCGAAGGTTTCATCAAAATCTATACCTTCTTCTTGACAGTAACCTTTTGCAACTAACCGGGCTTTGTTTCTGACAACAACGCCATTTTCATCCATCTTGTTCCAGAAGACCCACTTTGTCCCAATGACATGTTGATGAGTAGGTCTGGGAACAAGTTTCCAGACGTCATTTCTGGAAAATTGGTTGAGTTCTTCTTGCATTGCATTGATCGAATCAGAATCAGCTAGAGCTTCTTCAATATTCTTTGGTTCCACTTGTGAGATGAACCAAGCAAGCATAGCTTCTAGATTCTGTTGGGCACTCCTTGTGCGAACACCAGATTGAATATCTCCAATGATCTGTTGAGGAGGATGATCCCTTAACCAACGAAGATTGTGTTGATTGGGATTGACTGGTTGATCTAGTTCAGCTTCTGGTTGAAGAACAGAGGTTGTTGGTGTTTCCGGATAGGTTTGCACTGGGTTGCCATTTCCGGAATTGTCGCCGTTTGAGATATCCGGAATATTGGAAGGCTGGCCAAGATTTCCGGAGGGCTCAGCATTGTCTAAATCCGGATTCCTCTGTGAAGTCTTCAGAGGCAGACTTCTGAATGGAATGAACTCCGTAGGCTTCATTCTATCTCCTTCATTGACTTCTTCATCCTTGTCTGATAGGTCCAGAACCTCATGATCATGCTTTGATGGTTTGTCAACCACATGTTTTTCATCAAAAATAACATGTATTGACTCTTCAGTGATCATGGTTCTTTTGTTGAAGACTCTAAATGCCTTGCTTACCATGGAATATCCTAGGAAGATGGCCTCATCTGATTTTTCATCAAAAGTGTTCAGATGATTCTTCCCGTTGTTTAACACAAAGCACTTGCTCCCAAAAATATGGAAATATGATATATTAGGCTTTCTCCCGTTCCATAGTTCATAGGGAGTTTTGTTGTGCCTTTTATAGATCATACTCCTATTTTGAGTATAGCAGGCTGTGTTGACAGCTTCAGCCCAGAACCTCTTTGGTAAGGAAGCTTCTGCTAGCATGGTTCTCACTGCTTCCTTCAAGGTTCTGTTCCTTCTTTCAGCTACACCATTTTGTTGAGGTGTCCTTGCTGCAGATGTCTGATGAAGAATTCCGTTTTCTTCACAGTAGTGAATGATGATTTCATTCAGGAATTCTGTGCCTTTGTCAGATCTGATCTTCTGAATGGTCTGACTTGCTTGGTTTTGAATCAGCTTCATGCAGTTGGTGAGTTTCCCTTGAGTCTCCTTCTTGC